AAAATACCAAAAGAACTCCTTCATCATCTCCATATTTTCCCAGCCATCCCCCACACAAACACCAGCATTTCGTTCCCAGAAATCTGAAAATAATCGATTAACATTGTTAAAAATCGATTATCATTCCTCTGTCAAAACACCAGCAGGCATCGTTAATCGATTATCACCCTCGGCAATCGATTATCATACATCAGTGGAAACTCCTGCAATCCTCAATAATCGATTATCACCATAATGGTAATCGACTATTAGCCCTTCCTGAAAATCCAAGAAACTGAACCAGCAAATAATCGATTATCTAGACTAGATAATCGATTATCCTCCTATCTTGAGAATCGAAGGACTTTGTTTCCTGAGTTTGAACTTAATACCGTCAAACTCGGAGCTGAGATATAACATTTGGTATCAGAGCTTCTTGTTCCAACATCCCAAAGGACCAAGAACACACTTCCACTCTTTCTCCTTTCCTTCAGCCTCATTTCAGCCAAAACATGTCTCACACCCCCCCAAAACATTATTAGGGAAGATTTGGTTGCATTCAATGCCGAACTCAAAGCTCAAGTTGAGTATTTGGCCAAACAAGTGGCTCAACTCACCAAGTTGAAAATGAGCATGGTCCACACTCCAGAGGAAAGTGAAGATGAGCAAGAAGAAGGCGTCCAATCAGGAGTTCCTTCTCCCACCATAAGGAGAAACAACCAAGAGAAGTCTTCCTCTGATTTCAAGGCTGAAATCCCAACCTTTGATGGCAAGGACGACCCCGATGATTTCATCGAATGGTTAGAAACGGTTGAACGCGCCTTTGACGAAGTTCCGGAAGACAAGAAGGTCAAGTTGATAGCCTTGAAGTTTAGAGGCTATGCTTCCACGTGGTGGGCTAACACTACCACCAAACGCAGAAGAGAAGGAAAACCCATCGTGAGAACGTGGACAAAGATGATGGCCCTTTTGAGGAAGAAGTTTATCCCTACTCACTATGTGAGGGAGAACTTTGCTAGGCTTCAACACTTGAGGCAAGGCAACCGGTCCGTAGAGGAGTACAACCGAGAGTTCGAGGAACTCTTGATGAGGTGTGACCTTCAAGAGAACGATTCACAAACGTTTGTGAGGTACCTATTTGGCCTAAACACCCAAATAGCCAACACCGTGGAGCTGCAAACGTTCGAAAGTCTTGAAGAGCTAACTAAGTTAGCGTTGAAAGTGGAAGCCCAACTCAAGAAAGGTAAGGCCNGAAGATGAGCGTGAAGAAAAGCCGAGTTTGAGGGCAAACTCTTTCGAAGAAGGGAAGGATGATATATATCCGGGAGCATGCCCGAAGACTCTCCGTAGCCCGCCAAGGGATAGACGGATCAGGGGAATAAAGCCCAAGTGTGGTGACATTAATTGGGTTGAAAGTTCTCCATTTTCCTGCCTTAGAACCCAACCCAACACCATGGCTGTCCTACACCCACCCTAGGCTGAGCCCACACTTCCCATACCTTCCCTAAACATCCAAAATATTTCCTTTTGAAAATAGAGTTTTCCCTACTCTTATTTTAGCCATGGCCGAAAACAAGAGTGTGTAAACCAAAACCTTTTTGTTTGTTGTTATTTTCCTTCTTTTAAGCCTTTTAATAAACCAGTAAAAACCTCTCTTCCTTCCTTTCATTCCCTGCCCAAATAAACCTCACAATCCCAACCCAACACCCACGAAAAGCCAAAACCATGACCCACCTCCAGCCCCTACTTCCTGCCCATGTTTTTCCCTCACATTAACCCAAAGCCATAACTCCAAAATACCCACAAATAATACCCAGCCCTGTCCCCTTTTAATGACCAAAACAACCCTCCATTCTTACCCAAATAATACCCACAAAACCCAGGAAAACAACCACTACATTCCTAAAACCCAAAACCCTACAATCCCAGCCCCATCCCTGATTTTATTCCACTAAGGAGACAGGAATGAGTGGCCAATACCCCATGCCTTGGAAGAGATAGTTGCAAGGAAGCTTCCCTAAGCTTACATTCAATGTATTGTGAATTATCTCCCCCTTCCCCTGCCTATATAACTCAGGCCTTATGACCATTGTAAAACAACCTTTTGAATATTAAAATCTTTTACTCTTTGAGTATTATTAAAATAGTGTGATGCTATTTTAGCCAAATTCCTAATTCTATATCTTAAGAGTGGTTATCTTAAGTGTGAGTTTTAGGTTCTAGATATTTGATTAAGTGTGTCATATCTTAATTAAATTTTAGATTCAAACCCCAAGTTAGGAAAAGAGTGTGTAATATCTCTTAAACACCAACTTGGTTTATCCATCATTATTTTCTATCCATTTCTTTTCCCACCATTTCTATCCTTAATCTCTTTTTTTTTCCTTACATTAAAAATACCAAAAGAACTCCTTCATCATCTCCATATTTTCCCAGCCATCCCCCACACAAACACCAGCATTTCGTTCCCAGAAATCTGAAAATAATCGATTAACATTGTTAAAAATCGATTATCATTCCTCTGTCAAAACACCAGCAGGCATCGTTAATCGATTATCACCCTCGGCAATCGATTATCATACATCAGTGGAAACTCCTGCA